ATGCGACATTTGTTCAAGATAAAAAAAACTCCTCGTCATTGACCTTAAAGACTTCTTCAACCATTGCCTATTCCAAAACAATGATGGTCTTTTATTTCTATGGATTTTATTACAGATCTTTCAATCTCAAGTACTTGTGACTCTATATTCATCATAGTAGATCATTTTACTAAGATGGTACATTTTGTACTATGTACAAAATCTATCACATGTGAAGAATAGCTAAGCTCTTTCCTTACAACATCTATCACTATCATGGATTACCCAAAGATATTATATCGAATAGGAGAACTCAGTTTGTATCAAGATTTTGATAAACTCTTTTTAAGTTTCTAAAAATACATATAAAACTATCTTTGGCATTCCATCTTCAAAGTGATACACAAATGGAGCATGTTAATTAAGTTTTGAAGCATTATTTAAGATGTACCATCAACTACCAACAAGATGATTGGACAATTCTTTTGTCGATGGCAGACTTTATTTATAATAACACAATACATTCTTCTACAAAACAAACGCTTTTTTTTGCCAATTATGGTTATCATCTATGATTTGATACTTTTGACTTTTCAAAAGTTGATAATTCTGTGGCAGAAGATTTGGCAAATCATTTATCAGAGTTACATGCAACAATGAATGCACAGTTAAAAGAAGCTCAAAAACAACAAAAGATCAATGTAGATGTCTATCGAAAGGAACAACCACCATTCCACACATGTGATAAGATATGTTTACTTCATCGTAATATCAAGACCACTAGTCCTTGTGATAAGTTGGACTATTATAGACTTGGACCATTTCTTATTTTTATGTAAATCAATCCAGTTGCATATCGTTTATACCTACCAAGATTAATGAAAATCCATCCAGTATTCCATGTGTCTCTTTTTGAACCATACAAGACAATAGACATACTAAGAAGAAGACAAGTTCTACTTCCTCTTATAGAAGTAGACAATAATAAAGAGTTTGAAGTAGAAGAATTCCTAGATTCAAAGCAACATCGAAATAAATTAGAATATCTTGTCAATTGGTGCGGATATGATATTAGTGAATGCACATGAGAGCCAATAAAGAATCTTGTAAATGCAACAAAGGCGATGGAGGCTTTTCATCGATGACATCCATCAAAATCAAGATAACATTTTACTTTCAATCCTTGTTTGTAGCTTCTTTGTAGTTGTGATGCTAAAGAGATGGAGAATCAACAACCAATGGATTTGACTGAAGAGCCTTTATTTACTGACCTACCAAACAAGACATTACAATTATCACAACCTTCAAGACGATGCAATCAAGATGAAGATCTTCAAGAACAACATGTTTTTCTTCAAATAGATGGCAAGATACAATGTGTTTGGTATCACAACCTTGGAAGAGACTCCCGATGTTTGGTAATTTTATTAGAGGTAGGAACAACTCCTAATGGTATTTCAAATATTTTATTTCAAAGAAGTTATGAAGGCCTCAACAATGATCAGATAACAGGGTGGTCTTTCCGCCCTCGTATGAGACACTATCAATGGTTGAGAGGCCCTATCAACCATCTTCAAAGAGAACAAAGATCTGAATATGTAGCAAATACAATTTGTCGCATCATCGATCTCTTCAACATATGATGACCACTCCTCATGGAAATTATCCCTAAAAGGAGGGATAATGTCATAGACATACCATGTAAGCTAGTAATTATCTATATAAATAGGTAGAAGTCAGTAGAAGTAAGTAAAAATAAGTTAATTCTATAATATCTTCTATGGAAGCTTCCTAGAAGCTTTATAGATACTGCTTTGACTTTATAGGTGTCTTTAATTGACTTTTTGAATTAAAAACATGTTCAACAAGTTGGCCATGTGCCACACATGTTGTTAGCTTGAAAATCAAGCTAACTATGTAGCCTACATGTAGAAAAACTTGCCTTATAAGTCAAGGCATGTATCCTACAAAGTTAACACACATTGGAGGTCCTATAGAACATCGCCATGTAGCCCCTAGTTAGATAGTATATATATAGAGACAAGAGTAAAGCTCTCTTCACTCTTGTCAATTCCTTTCTTTTTTCTAGTCTAGTTTCAAGAGTCTCAAGTTTTCTTGTCGTTTGGCAATAAGCCTTTTTAATTTCTTTTAATATACGTATTTTCTTATTTTTATTTTTTCACTCTTTTTTTGACATGGATTTCATTATTTATGCATCATCTTTTAGTTCATGTCCGTGACCTAGTATTAGACATCATCATAGTTTGACAAAAATCAATTTGGTAATATGCCTTTGAATATTGTGGAATCTCTAAACTCTCAAAACTTGAAAGCAGATGAGATGCAGTTTATTCTAATATTGAAAATGATTTAGCAACAGCTTATGGCATGGTATAATAAGCAATGTATCATTGCCAATACAATTATTGAACCATTGTCAATTAGTGTAAAGCAAAAGATTAAATAGTCACAAAGATTTGCACACAATTATCATGTCATTTTGTCATCTAATATTACCTTTGAATGCTTATTGAAGTAATCATCTCATGTCTTGAATTTACCAAACTACACATGCACTTGCAAATGATAGTAGTTAGTTGGAATCATATATGTGTATACAATTAGAGCTCTGCTCTTCATGCAACAATCAATTATGGACTACACTGCTTAGTTCCATATTATTTAAACTCAACAAGTAATTTATATTGTAGCCATCACATCAATACCATCCATTGAATACTGAATAGAATTAAACAACAATGAAGTCAATGTTGCTCCAATTCTACCATCTTTGATATAACATCTACTTGGTCACTTAAAAAAGTATTACATCCATATAAAGAATATTGAAACAATTAAAAGAATATTTAAATATAGTCAATGTAAGAATATTAGGCATAATTGCTTAACTTGTAAGAAACCAATTTGATTCCATTGCTAAAGTATCATTGAATGTGATGTTTTGCTTCTGTAGAACCATCTTTGTCCACAAGAAGGATTTTTAATTTATTTTATTTCAACATTATTATTACTATTAAATCAAATTTTTTTATTGTAATATATTAATTTTGAAAATATTTTTAATATATTTACATAGTTGCTTCAATATATTTACCTAGTAGTGGTTCAAGGAAATAAATTCCATATTGTTTGCTTGCATATATGCATAAGTGTATGTATGTGCATGTACCTTTATAATGTGAGTGCGACTTATTGGTCATTGACAAAAGAAGATTATTTATAATTTATTATTATTACTAAGTTTTTTGCCTATATTTTTAATAATGTGTGTGTTTGTATTTGTTTTTCTTCTAAAGCATTGATTGATTGAAGTTCCTATATTTGATTGTCCAACATAGGGGCTTCAATCTTATAATATAGCAATCTTATAATAATAGCAATATTATACTAGAAGTAAAATATAATATAGGTTTTTTGTTTTTATTTTTATTTTTTTAACAATAATTATAATAAATCAATAAAAAACTCTATAACTCTTAACTAGAAAGCATAGTGGAGAAAGTGTACAAGTGAAATGCACGGCTATGAAGGAACAGTAGTTTGTGAATCAATTGACTTAAAAATAGATAAATAAAGTGAAAAAATCTAAAGCAATAAAAAGATATTCAAAATATGTACAATATTATGTTCATTGAATGCAACTAAGAGTTTTTGGGCAATTTAAAGTGTATACAACTTTTTAATTCTAGATTCATTGTAGAAACTTCTTTAGATAGGTTCTTAATGAGAATACTTTTTTAAAATACTAATATAAAATTTAAAAATTAGTAATTAGTAATATATGTATATTAAAAAAAATCACATTGTATTATCACATTTCATTTAATACTTTTGTTTCTTCCAAATGTATCAACAGATCTCAAATTGATAAAAATCAGATTTAGATTAAAGGAATTCTTTTGACTAAATAGAATAAGTTATGTACTTATTTAAAAGATCTTATCCTATTTTAGTAATTAATTTACTTTGTAATATATAATTCAATGATTCTAAAATTATTATTGACTTCTTTAATTTACAACATAATTTTAAATATTAATATTTTTTTCCATTCATGTATTTATAAAACTTAAAATTCTAATAAATTCTTTTATTGGAATTTTATTTTTTAAACAAATAAGAAATAAAATAAAATTGCCAATTAGGTGACAAGTTATGGTAGGCAATAGCAAAAATTGTAATTGTAAACATGTCACTGAGGCTCGTAGTGAGGCGTAGAGGTGGTGGCATGCAAGCATCCATGGTGGTAATGGCAGCAAGCACTGCAGCAAGGAAAACATTGCTACAGCTAGGTACCACCAAGACTTGAGCAAGGCTAGACTTTTCCAATAGCCAAAAAGTGTAGAAAGGGCCACACCAAATTCTGTGCAGCACATGGTTTGGGCCCCAATGGCACCTAAGAAAGAATAATTATAATATATTTTCACATTCAAAGGTAGATTTGATATTATGACAAAAGTGGGGGGATATATTTGCAGTTATCAAGAATACAAGAATATTCTTGATAATTCAGCATATTTGAAGGAAATAAATGATATTTTTCCTTTTTTTACTTCTTAAATGAATCGTGAATGTGGTTATCATGCATTACTGTTAAATTCTGCAAAACACTCCACATTGTGACATTCATCTTTGGGAGTGGCAATTATCCTACAATGTTGAAGGGTTTCTACACTTCTGTTTTCCGAAATGTGTAACATGCTTAAAGTTAATGATAAGTTTTATCTTTGCTTTTTAACAAGATGAAGTCTCACATAATTCTATGAGTACAAGAAAGCACAGAGAATGATAATGAAATGAACGAATTGAAAAGAAAAGAAAATACAGTTTTTGGCATTTCACCGACAGCTATTCATAAACATTCAAATACTCAAAAACATAGCCAGCAGTAGAGTATTACTGGGAAAGTATTTGCTAACTACACTCCCAACTAATAGCATTTAACTGATGACGTTTACAGTAAATGAAAGCAGAAGCATGATCAGAACCGTACTTCAGTGCGGCAGAAACCCAAAAACTTAAATTGTGCTGAAAGTGAACATCCTTCAAAGCCACATGTTGTTGAGAAGTTAAAAATAAAGTACACACACAGGGGTTAATCGCATGAAAGTGATTTAATACATGCAAATCCAAACTAGTAACAGCATGATAAGATCATCAGCGGACAGTAAACTACTGACGATCGGTTTCAAATCCGAACATGCATCCTTAGTGGCAGTGATGAAGTAGGTTCTAAATTAGCTGGGATTATTGCTCTTCTGGCTCCTCTTGCTGCTCGCCTTCTTCTTCAATGTGTTGGTCAGGAGGGTTACTAGGCCGGTTCGCGCACGCTCGTAATGATTCAAATGCTTGCATACTCTCAGGGTCGAAACCTCCAGCAAACTGCATAGAAAGTGAGAAAAAAATGAGTGCTTGAGATTGATTGTTACCGTGAGCAAACTCGTCATTTGGAAAGATGGGCACACGAAAGTATTAAAAAATGAATCTGTTGTGATCGAATACATAAATTGTGCAGTGTAATCAATAATATTCTTTAATAGGAGTTGGGGAATGAGAAGCAAGAGAGTCTGAGAATGATGTACCTGATGTACTCGGAACGCAAACCGAACGCCCTGTAGCAAGAGGAACTCGCGTACAGGCTCATTGAGAGACCCTACTTGCTCGAGCTCCGTGGAAACTCGTTTCATGTACAAACGAGCCAGTTTCACTGACGCCAGCTTGATCTGCATTGGAGTGTCGCGTGAGCGAATAAAACGTCGTCATCACCAATTCACAACAGTGGATCAGTTGAACAATTTATACGAGAAGACAAGAGTATCATTCAAAGGTTGTGAGATTTAAGGAAGATATAACGCCTGAAAGAAAAAGGCCAACGATGTACCTTTCCAACGATGCCTGAATCAAGCATCCATTGGACTGGAATATTGAATTCCTTGTAGCGAGCCATAGCCATGTCCCTTGTTCTTAGCAGCCCATACACACTCTGCTCCGTTCTGCAGTAGCCGTGCGCCCCCAATGTTAAGCACAGAAAGTTTGATAACATGAGCAACAAATATTACGACTGAGATAATTTTCTACGCAGTATAATGCCAAAGCCTCACTACAGTTCAACAAATATTCAAGAGAATGCATGCTATTAAAATCCAACAAATTCTTGGCATGCAACTGTACGAACAATCCAGAAGAGAGACTAACTTCTCCAATAGAGTAAGCATTTTCTTCAAGGCCTTATCGCACGGCATCTCGGACTTGTCTTCGAATTTAGATACCTCGCCCAGCAGCTTCGTCAGATCCTGATACTCGAATGCAGCTTCACGCATTGCATCAGCCTTGCCTTCTGGCCAATCAAAGTGCTTCAACACCGCTCTTTCATCGACCTATTTAAACAAAGAAAATCCAATCACCAATACCAAGTCTTAGATTGCATTCCGTTTACACAAATGGAGGCAGAAAGACCGTACACGCAATAACTAAGCTAAATCAAGGCAAAATTATCATATCGCCGAAAATTACACCTGTTGTATACAGTATAAGTCACTACGTATCCTTGAAAGGTTAAACATACTAAGTTAGTAGCGATGAGGTTGAGCTAGTATTGAAGGCACTTGATATGTGTTATGACATTGCTGGGATCAGCAAGCAAGAAATGAGAATTAGCAAGATAGATTACAAAATCAGTAACTAAGATGAACGTACCAAAAAGGAGAGCTCTTCATCTAGCCAATTCACAAACTCCACAACATCTTTAATGTCACCATACACAGCAGCTCTCACTTCAGCTGCTAGTGACATGACAAATTCTCCTTGGGTCTCCACGTCAGCCTTGATCTGCATATAATAAAATACCATCAGTTTCCAACCAACACACCTAATTCACAACCGTAGCTATTAGTTTGAGAACGATCTCTTCATACAATATCAGAGCACTAAACTAGTCACAATCAACCCATGTACTAGGACTTCAACCAACAGATTCATCAAAGAAGTGGATTTATCGACTGAAAAACCGCTTACAGCTAGCAGATGGGTCGATCGATTTTCGATCTCGCCGATCATGTTGTTGCGAGCCTCTGGATTATTTCCACCAGCAGTGTTGACTACAGCGCTTTTAGCGTCACGCTTCATGAGGGACTGGTAGAACTCCACTACCTCTGGAGCTCTATGCACATCGTCAGTTTTTTTGCCCATCTTTGATAACCCTCCCATGGGTGGAGGAGGAGGAGGAGGAGGTGGCGCGCCGGGTCCGCCGCGAGGGGGTGGCGGGGGAGGAGGAGGTGGCGGCACTCCACCACCTGAAACTCCTGCAGATTGTGGAGCAGCTGGCACACTGGGCTGTGGCCGAGAGGGCTTGGGAGGGGGTCGTGGCTTTCTCAATTCCCTCTTCTCGACCTCAGCTACAGTGATAGGTTTGGTAATAACTTCTCCGCTCTTCAGTGCCGGCATGGTCTCGAGACCGAATAACTGCTCCTGCTGAATGCCTACCTGTTGCATCTTTTCTGACCATTTCACCCTCGGCACCTTTGGCATTTCACCTCTTTCTACTTGAGCTTTCTCTCGTTCTGCCTGCATTTTTTCTCTTTCAGCTTGCGCCTTCTCCTTGATGGCTTGTTCCCTCTCTATGGCTGCTTTGTGCCTGTCCTTGAAAGCTGGGTATTTCGCAGAAATCTCAGCTGGGACAGATTTCTCAATGACCTGGAAGGATGCAGCTATGCCATTGAAACCATCCTTAGTAGTTGCTGATTGTGACGTCTTGATTGGCGCCAGGCTGGACATGGCAGGAGGATTAGAGTTGGCCCCTGAACCGCTAGGTGATGATAGGTTTGATAGAGATCTCGTGGGAGAAGCCGTCCCATGAGATTCCGCATCGTCTTTGTTGGCCCCGTATGTTGTGATTTGAATCGAGTCGCTCTGATTTCTGATTATTAAAGCCTCCAAGGGTCCCTTTGATGTCTTCTTCCTGCGACGCTGTGAGCCAGGATCACTTCTTGAGCTAGGGCTTCTCTCGTTACCTATCCCGTCATCTTTCCTTCCTGTCCAACTCTTCAGTCGCTTGATCAGACTGTTCTTCTTAGACAAGTGACCAGACACCGACCCAACTTCTGATGAAATGTCGCTATAATCTTCGGAGGGGCTCGAAGTTTCAGAAGAGGTGCTCTCGTAGCCGCTCTCCATCTGGTCTTTAGAGCGCAAGGCATGCAGGTCAGGGGCAGCGTACTGCAGCATCAGTTGCTTTGCCTTCTCCTGTGACCTCGGGCTCAGATTCTTGTTCAAATCCATAGCGCTGACTTGACCCTCAGGTGCCTGATAATTGCGCAACTCGTATCGAAGGCATGCATTAACCCACCGCAGATATACGAGCTCTTCCACTTCGGTAAATCGATCGTTTTGTAAGCCCTCAACCTGTCGAGCTAAATCTTCATTAGCATGTCGCAAGGCTGCAAGTTCTTCATCAGCCTCAGCCAGAATATCCTCCTCTGTTCTATTCTGCAGGTATTCGATGTCCATTTCTGCTGCGTCCAATTTTACAGTAAGCTCCCGTTTCTGGTATTGTAAATCTTTGTTCGTGCGCCTTAGTTCTACGATTTCAACTTCCATCTCTCGCAGAGCTTGCAACTTTTTCTCAGTTTCCAAGTCCCGTTTACTGCCGTCTTCTTTATCTGTTTCTAATGTGGCCAGTTTTTGCTTCAACTTTAAGAGCTCCGCCTTATCATCTCCAACTCTCGTATTCAATTGTTTCTGTATCTCCCTGTTTCGTGCACGCGCCTCCTCGAGATCCTTCCGTAGACCAGTCACGCTCGCGGCTTCATCGGCCAGCTTCGTTGATCTAGCCTCCAGAATCCCAATTCTTTCTTTTAACTTAGCAATTTGAGAGTTTTTCTCTTCTTCTACCATTTCCAATCGGCTCCGTAATTTCTCTAGCTCAAGGTTTCGTCTTTCTAACCTCTCCTCCATATCCATTAGACGAGCGTTCTTCTCTTCCATCTCTTCCTCTAACTTCACAAGTTCAGCTTCTTGATCCTCAAGGTCATAGTATTCAAGAAGCTCTGCCTCCATCCTCGCTTCTTTGTTCTTGAGCACCTTCACAGTCTCCCTGAGAGCCCGAAGCTCCGCTGTAGCAGAGTCATTTGCAAGGCTGTCAACATACTCATCTCGTAGATAGTCTGAGGAATCCGACACCTGCGATTTCTGATCGTCTCCATCATCATTGAATGAATCTCTTCTTCTTCCAGGACTCGGAGATCGTCTGCTACCCACTCTCCCTCCTCTATTCTTTGTAGTCTTAAAGCGAACATCGTCTTTGCCATCCTCACCTGGGACGGCCTTGAAAGAATCCAAATCTGCATCAGTGAAGCCATCTGCACCATACGAGTCCTTCCCCACACTCCTTGCGGAGCGAGGGCTTAAAATTCCCAGCTCTGCCTCATACAAGATATCGTCGAATTCAGGAAGTAACAAGTCTTTATCGCCGTACTCACTTCCGATAAGACTTCTCGCTGGAGAACTTGGAGTTACTCGTTTCACCTCTTCCGTCTGCTAAGCAACATCAACAGCATTTAAATTCAGAATTTTGCAGGTATAAATGAAACTCATACATACACCACAATTAAAAAGCACACTGAGGGAAAAGAATGTCACAAAAAGTAAAAAGTAGAAGCCAAATTGCTCTCGCACCGGCGTTTTCTGTTGCTTTGAGCGAGATTCCACGCCCAGATTCTCATTCTGACCCTCCTCGCGCTTGTCTCCATGATCTGGACCAACCAACGATGGCACCAATGCTTACAAGCTTGAGAAAGTGAGGAAGGTTTTGAGAAAAAAGGGACACCCAATACCACTAACAAAAGCTATACTCAGTATTCGCCTTTCCAACTCCGGCAACTAAAACCACCACTGCAATTGTTGTATATTATATACTACTTGCCGGTGGAAAAATACATTTCTGAAAGAACGACACTATGTACTTTCAAAATTTCAAGCGAATATTCTGTTTGCACATTCCCAGTTACTGACCGAAATGAAAGAAACCCACCAGTCCCAGTTCAAGATACTCTCCGCACTTGACTCATCATGGTGTGTGTGTGTGTGTGTAACTGACTATGTGTTCACGTGCTTCGGGAGCAAATGAAGAGGAGGAACCGAGCGTGAGAAATTGAGCGTGAGAAGAGGAAAGTACGAGAAGAATACAAACCTTCAGTGGCTAACTGCCCTCTCTTATTCCTGAGCTGCCTTCGGTAAGTGACAGCCGCTACAGAGCATGTCACCGCAAGGCCTAACCGCACTAACATGTACGATTCTCTATGTGATTCTGTTGGATTTTATTTACATTGCCACTCTTTAACGCGCAGAGAGAACAATTCAGTTCCACCGTGTAGAATTCCCTCTTTTGCAAGGCTGCACCTTCCCTTCCACCCTGAGTTCGGGTTTCCGGCATCTACCAAAAACAAAATCTGCACTCGTCTCTTCCGGCGGTTGGCCTGTGAGCTCCAAAAAAAGCTTTAAGACATCCCTGCTCTCGAACAAACCAATTCCTGCCGCAACAGCCACCCTATTCCAAAGCCCAGAAATTCCCTTGTTCCTTCATCAAGATGGGAAGAAAACAGCTTGAATTCTTCGAGACGGCAGACTTCCATAGATGTACAACAGCGGAAACAAAACCCCAATACTTCTGAAATCAGTGTCTCATTGACATAAACCAAACAACGAGTATAGCCAACAGCTGCGGGGTTCTGCAGCCTGTGAACGAAACGTCTCTTCTTCTTCTTCAAAGGTGAAACACCAAGACAGGACAAAACTGTGCCTCTCGGTCCATTGTGAAGCACCTCCACGCCACAACCCGCTCCGGAACAAAAGAGAAGGCCACGACGTTCACCTGAGTTATCAGAAGTGCTCGTGTACAAAAGTGAAGGCCATGCCAGCCACGAAACCGCAGCGATAAGAAATGATCCACTTTTCCGCGAGGGCTTTACAATGAAGCCAGGATGCGAGCATTTCTCATGCTTCATGATCTGGGAGTGACTCACCTGCAAGGAGGAGTGGGTGGAGGGACCCGAATATCTATATTTTACTAAAAGAGGCTTCCCGACGATCGGATCAGGGCAGGTTGAGCGGATGGCGGCTCGCGATGCGGGCCACAAGATCTACGCCAGGACTGACTGGTCCTCCTCACAAGCGCTTCCCTCCCTCCGGCTCACTAGTCCCTCGCTCCCTCCCTCGCGCTCCTCTATCTTCTCATCCCCGCCCCCGTGCTCGCATCCACCCGTCATCCCCAGTCGCGGCGACGCTGCTCCCCCGCAATATTGTGTCGCTGGCTCCACGAAACCCTAAAAACTGACCCCTCTCTTTGACTCTCTCTGACTCCCAAAGATAGCCTCGTCTTGCTGACTGTGTGTTTGTACCCACTATTGCATGTTATATCGAGGGAGAAGGAGGATCTTGTTTCCCTCCTTGGATCTTCCAGTTGCACCAAGTGTCTTTCTGGGCTATGGCATGATGCTTTGTTTCAAGGGCTTGTGGCCTTTGTAATGTGTTTGTGGGGGGTATCTAGGACTTGGTGTTTTGCCATTCTATTATGATTCTTGTGTGAATCAAATGTGGATGAATTTGAGCTTCTCTAGACTATGTCCCACATGTGGAATTTGATTCAAACTTCTCCATCCATCTCCTTGTTTTGTAATCCATGATTGAATTAAAAATATATATTGCAAAGTTCATGTATACATAGAAATTTTTTAAAAGGTTGTAATTATATATTATTTTTTGAATTATCTTATTCTTATTTGACTTTGGTACTAGCAAAGAAAAATGAAAACCAAAGCCCACATTGCACCTTATCATCACTATCATACTTGCAACAATATTGTCTTCTCTCTTATTTATAATTTGTATTAATGTGTGGATAGTTCTTGTCAAAACATTATATTTAGCTTATATAATATTTTTCTTCTTTAAAAACTTACATCTGCATTATTTAATATATAAGCTAAAATATATTATTTTAGAATTATTTAATTTATTTTATATTATTTTAAATTCTAAAAACAGATATATCATATATTATAAGAAAGTAAACCTTCTAATATAATATTTATATTAATTAGGAGTTCTTTTAAAAATAATTTTTGTAGTACACTAAAACATTATTATCTTTAAATTATAGTAAAACTATTCAACAACCTTATTAAGATTAGATTGTTTGGAATAACCTATTATATACATTGGTTCTAAACACTAATCAAATAAATTAGAAATTTTGATTAAAAGATCTTGATACAATTTATAATTGGATTGCAAAAGAATTGACAATATTGTGTAAATAAAGATTAGTATACACAACAAATCAAGTGCTAAAAACCATCATCAAATATGTGATCAAAAATCAAATAAGAATGCATAACAATCACACTCTAAAAAAAAGATGAAAAATCTAGACACAAATTAGTTAAGCTATTTTTTAATCTACAAAGGAAGAATCCAAGAGTACAAGTGTATAGAAAAAATCCTAAACTTTACTTAATGGCTAAATCACTATAGTCAAGCAAAATCTTACAATTATGAGCTTTTTCTTTTAAAAACACTTAAAAGACTTGGCTTGACAAAAATGTCAAGTCAATAGAATTTTTCTTTTAAATCCTCAAACCCTAATTAACACTAAAAAGACCAATTAATATAAAATAATTAGATAAAAATCCACTATAATATAGTAGAGTACACCCATTCAATATGATTTGGCACTTGAGGCCATGGTACATGACAAATGTTGTGTAGATAAAAATTGGCATACACAACAAATCAAGTAATAGAAATCATCATGTGAGATTGTGACAATTCATAACTCCAATGCTAGAGGCCCTCCAAACTTTTGGTACAATTTTTCAATAACTATCACTCTTCTAAAAGCACAAATATATATATATATATATATATATATATATATATATATATACAAATTCAACCTTCCTACAAAGGTACATTGCATAGCCAAAATGAAGTTGTTTATAATTTCCTTGGTAGTAAAGGAATAATAATCCAAAGCATTTAGTTTGGACCAAAATCTTATTACAAGATAAAATCTTCAAACAAGAGATTGTATAATGGGACCACAACAAATGCTAAAGTATTTTCTTCCTTAAAGATCTCCAAAATTGGCTCAAAATCCTTTATACTAGACTCAAACAAAAACTTCACAATAAATGTGGTGGTGCATGTAGTGTGTTGTAAGAGTGTGGTAATGGGGATAATAATAATCAAGGCTGTATCTCTCTAGTGTTGTATTGTAGTAATAAAAACACATCAAAGCAACCTTGTATTGTACCAACTTCTAGTATTATATTGTTTCCAAACATTGTTGGAGCAACTAACAACCTCAACACAAAAAAATAAAATTAAGGCCAACAATAAGAAACAATATCAAATACAATAATCTAAAAAAATTAAAAAATATTTTTTTTAATTATTTATTTAATTTTTAATTTTTTATTACATATTTTATTTTAATTTTTTATATAAAAAAACTTATAGAAGAGATGAATGTTATCAAGTAAAAGATAAAAAATCTAAATATAACTTAGTGAAATTATCTTGTACATTATATAAAAAGAATCAATGAATGTAAGTGTATAGAAAAAATTCTAAACTTTATCTATTGACTAAATTACCATAGTCATGTAAACTCTTACAATTTCGAGATTTATCTCTTAAAAACACTTACAAGACTTGACTTGACAAGAATGTCTACTAAAAGGTGCTTATATATATAAATCTTCAAATCCTAGTTGACACTAAAGAGGTCAATTATAGTAAAATACCAAGTAGATGAAAATCCATTATACTAAAGTAGACTACATCCATTTGACTTGATTTGGTCCTTGGTAATAAGTCATGTGACAACAATATAGCTTTAAAAAATATTAAATATGTCTGATATATATAGATATATATATATATATATATATATATATATATCATGATAAATATTAAATATATAATTTATATTATTATAAAATAATTAAAAATATATTATATTTAGTTTTAATAATATTAGAAATAAAATTATTAATTTTGATGAAGATTTTATTTTAAAAGGATTTTTTAATAATAATATGATTCTTAAAATATTATATATTAAAATTAATTTGATCCAAATTATAAAATGGTACTATTTGAGAATTTTAAAATCATAACAACAAATTTGATCCACTAATTTAAATAAAAATATTCTAACTTTTAAGCAAGTATAATAACAAATTTTAGTACTAATAAAACAAGTGAATAACAACTTTATATTTATATTATATGATTTGATTATATTTTAGAAATACTTATAAAATCTACAATATACATCATATATAAATTTAATATAATAGAATTCTTAAATTTAAATTTAACTTACTTCAATACAATAAGAATTTTTGAAGAATTAACATCTTTTTAAAATTAAAATGAAACTTAGACACAAATTTGGAATAATCATTTAATTTTATCCACCAATTATCTTTACTATGAAAAATTCTAACAACCAATTTTATCAAATAATCATATTAACCATTACTGATCTTCAATTTAAGAAATCACTACAGCAATCAATTCAACATCCTATTCTATCCAAAATTTATAATATCCTTCATATACAAGCATAAATGTACAAATATTTCATGACAATGCAATCCAAATTAAATCATGGTACATACTAATAAGAATATATTGCTAGTAAGCACTCTTATCACAACATATAAAAGAGAATCCAATTCAAAGGGATTGTAGATGAAAATGTTTATGACATAGGGATATAACGTCTATAATTTCTCTACTAGCTACTCTATTGTTTAATTTTTTGTAAGAGAAAAGTGAAGAAATACAATGTGCAAAGTATGATGTGCAAATTTTAATATAATGAGCAAATTACAAATGTGTGATATGTCAAATACATTAATAGCAAACTTCCAACTACATCATATATTAAAATTTGTTACTTGAGCTTTATTTTAGACAAATTTTCTTTGATCAACTTTTATTTGGTTTGATTCTTATCTTTCTAACAAAACTCTTTTCATGGTTGTAGCTATTGCAAACAATCTTGCTATTACATATGTCAAAATCCATGCTAATACATATATAATAAATAGTTATGACACAATTTTTTGCTGCTATAGCCACTCCTTAAGCCGATTGTTTTCTATGGTTCTTAAAAACGTCAATAATGTATTCACAAATAAAAGAGGATCTATACCCCCAACTTATTTTGACAAGTGTTGTGGCAAAGAGCTTCAAAAACTAATTAGAAAAGTTCTATATAATACAAGTTATCTAATACAATGAAATATAATTTTAAAAATATAAGAAATAAAATAAAATAATAAAATAGTTTTTTTTGTATAAAAAAATCTAATAAATTATAATAGAATGTTTTAGATCTTAATTATCAAAAAAATTATGTCATTTAATATTAGTTGTTTTATTAGACAAAAAAACTTAAAATTAAAAATTAAAAATTCTAAAAAAAATTAAAAGTATAAAAAATCTTATAAAATAAATAAAATTTGTGTATATAAAAGATATCTTATAAATTGACTTATTATTATAAATTTAAGTATATTTTATACCTAATTTTAAATAGTTATTTGAAATAATATTAGTATTTTAATTATTTTTAATATTCTTCTTATAAATGTAAGAATTGAAAAAATCTTGTCTACTTTTCTTTGGTCAATTTATAGATCATGCCTCACATTATAGACTCTTAGTAGTACCTTGCTGTAGTTATGCTTTCTTTGTTGTGATACTTACATCTTTTGAATTGCAGGCCACTACCACCATCTATTTGTTTGTGAATTTTTCTGCCTTAGGGCACAAATGTGACTTATAAGAAGATAAAAATAAAAATAAAGTTGCATAAAGATGATGAATCATCCAAATTACTTTTTTGGATTAAA